AGTACATAAATCACAGTATTACAGAAGTTATTATTATCTTCACGGACAAAATTTTTGCTAGCATATGAAAGTTATACTAATTCTCAAATTAAAAAGAAAAGATGTGGAACAGAGATCAGAAATCCAATTAATATTCTCATTTCCTATGTCTCCTTTGTGCAATCGATGCTACATTTATCTTATTTTAATTTATGCGAAAGGCAACTGTATAAATGGACAGTCTCACTTATGAAAATGAGCACAGAAAATGTATACTGGTTTATTTCTATTTTATGTATAAATAAACTCTTTGTCCTTTGAGAATAACTTATGTAAAATCTGTATGCTACAGCTCTTCTTCCACTAATAATGAGAGACCGCTAGAGTCTTTTTCGCTTTATCACCTTGCAAGTGTGCATATGCAAGAAGCAGTTATTTGGTCTGGGATATAAATAGCTGAAATGAATTTTCTATTTCCTCTTTTTTTTCCTGATAAAATATATTCAAATGCCAGCTGCATTATAACCTTCAAACAACTCAATACCAGTTCTTGAGATGCCATTAAATGTATGAATACAAATAAATATGAAGAACTTAAAATTTTGTTCTAATTGCCTTTAGCTTTTTTTTTTTTTTTTAGTTGTAGATGAACACGACATCTCTATTATATATTTATTTATTATTTTTTTATGTGGTGCTGAGGATTGAACCCAGGGCCTCATGCTTGGGAGGCAAGTATTGTACTGAGCCGAGCTACAACCCCAGCTTTTTAAAATAAATAATCATTTAACAATTAACTTCTTATTCTAAAAAAAATTATAAAAAGTAGAGGATGAAGCTGATTGCTCAAAAAGTTCTCCTTCATCCAGGAAAAGGAGATAGAGAGCCTAAGAAAATTCCATAGAATAATAATATCATATTTATGGAGTGTCTAAAATATTTTACACTTATATTTCACTAAGAATTCCAAGCTGCCCTATTCATAATTTTTGCAATTATAGATGTGTTCACACAAGATTATAATTAGTTTTTAGAGTGAATAATTTCTTTCTACTTTCTAATAGTCATAGCCTCTTGTACAATATTTTTGTTCTTAAGACTAAGCCTGTGTAAGATAAACATTAGGGATTTGCTGGTTGGTTGAGTGAGTAATTGGTTTGTGTAATCACTGAAAGGGAACTGGGGATTAAAATATTAATAACTTGACCAACATGCAACATTAAGCCATAAAATCAGGTCTTAAACATTTGTGCTCTATTTCCAAAAAGTCTCTTCACATTTAGCTTTTTGTTTCCTCTATAACTTTTGTATATGATGGAACGGAGTCTGGTCTGAAACCTAGACTTATGATAATCAGATTGCTTTCTCTACTTCCAGGAAAAACTAGTGGCATAGGCTAACCCTAGATGCCCAGATGCTTTACCAAACAAAAACATGTTTTCTACTGGCTCTCATGTAAATACAATTCAAATAATAGTTTCAAAACATAATACAATTATTTATATATGCATATATATAATTATTCATTTATTTAATGTTTGCACAGCTTCTTTTGTATTTTCATAAAATTTTATATATTCTAAGCTGTCGTATTTCTAGTATTAACTATTCCAGGAAATTAGCATTTAACAACTCTGTATTAGTAAAATTATAATATTGTAGTGCTTAAGGTACATTCAATTTTCTCATTTTAAGTTTCTTAGAGACAATCCCTCCCTACTTTGTTCTCTGCACTTCCTTAAAATTATGCCTTTAATATCTCTTAACAGCTTTCCATAGCTTAATGATTCATTCTCACTCTATATAAATATTAAATAGAAAATGTCTTAGGTTAAAAAATGAACAAAATGGATGTATGTATTTACTTTCTTATACACAAGTATTTAAATCCATTTGTTTCAAAATTCCAACTACATAAATTTACAAAGCCAAACACACATAATTGATGAGAAACATGGTAACCTATCACTAAAGCCCAGTATAAAGTCAAATTAATATGCATTTTTTCAACATTCTGAATCAGACAGAATTTATGACATTCCATAATTTGTGGAGAATGATCATAACAGAAAGAAGATTGGTTACAGTTGTTTAGAATTTTACTTACATGTATATACAGATTACAATAAGAATCCCAAGAAGACCCTCAAGAAAGTAGGTTACTAAAGGCCTCCAGCCATAATTTTACTGAAAATATAAAAGTAACAATTTTTCTGATAATTATCATTTTATATCTCAAAAATAATTCAGGAATATACATGTATTACATATAAAAATAAATCAAATATATTGAGTAAATTAGCATAGAGATTTAAATGTTAGGGATCACCATTCCAGAACTTAACTTCAATTTGTCCTGTTATTTGATTGCAATTGCCTTCAAAATCAATTTTTTTTACCATATCTGTATACTGTGAAAACATGTAATATTTCTTAGGTTTATTCCTCTGAAAGGAGTATCAACACTTTTTATATTGACATTAAGGACAAACAGCATTAAATGGTTAGGAAAACTTTCTGAATTTAGTTAAAACAGTTTAAGGGTACAGTGCAGTAAAATCATTCATCAGTTTGGGTAAATTAAAGTACCCATATCTTTTTTTGTTGTTTTTTCCTGCAGTCCTGGAGCTTGAACCCAAGGTCTCATACATGTCAGGTAAGCAAAATGCCACTGAGACACATTCCATTTCCACATCTTCATTTTAAATTATAACTATCTAAAATTTGACCTGTATGTGACTAATACAATTTTTTTAAAAAATATGTTTTCATTTGAAAGAGTATTAACTATTTCTACAATTTTTCCCCCCCTGGCCCACATCCCCAGCTTTTTTTATTTTGATTTTGAGACAGGGTATCCCTAAGTTGCTTAGGGTCTTTCTAAATTTTATTTCCACAAGTTTTAAGCAACAGTTTGAATATATGATTCATAGTAAGTTTTTTAAACATTCACTGTTCCAGGCCGTACAGTTGCATCATTCAAAACAACTTGTAATTGTCCTCTGAAACTTCATATATTATGATTCATCTAAAAATTTTAGATGGTAGTTGTGAGTTCTTATTCACATCATACACTGTGATGTCAAAAATAAATGAGAAAATAAAATAGAAAATTATCTATTTCACTAATATTATTTAATAGAATATTGGTAAAAATCTCAGAATTCAAGCAATAATAACCAGGATAGACATGCATGTTATACTTTTAATACTAAACAATTTTAAATTCTCCATTTTCAAATGCTGAATTATTCTATAGCTTGAGTCTTAATTAACCAAACATTTAATTACTGATTCTTTTTTTAAATTATTATTTATGGTACTAGGGATTGAAAGGGGATGCTGGGTGGGTTTTATTACTGAGCTGCGTTCCCAACTATTTTTATTTTTTATTTTGAGACAAGATCTTACTATGTTGCTTAAAGCCTCACTAAAGTACTAAGTCTACCCTTGAACTTACAATCCTCCTGCCTTTCACCTCTTAAACTACTGGATTATAGGCATGTGCCACCTTGCTCAGCTTGCTCAGTTATTCTTAAAGTAATACCATTACCCAAAAATATTTTAAATATATGATTAACAGAGACTTTGCCTTAAAGAAAATAATAATCAATGGTTCTGTATCAATCAGTTCTTACCTTGATAGTTGAGATCTGTGATAAAATTTATTTATATTATAATAGTTGAAAGAATTCTTTAAAAATCTGAAACCATTTTAAAATTTTTCCTGAATATATAAGAATATGATTTATCCATTTCATTATACCAAGACATATGAAACAATGTACTAAATGTAACATTATAACATAATAAACATAGCATCTACAATTCTCAAAATTATTTTGAAGAATATGCTTATTATAGTATATATTCAAAAACACAAATCATACAAACATATGCATAGAACTATATCTAAATTATTTAGAACTTTAAATAAACAATTTTAATATTCAATGTTTAAACATTTGCTGGGGACCAAAAATGTCTGTAACATTTTCTTATTTGTGGTTTTCTTGAGAGAGACATTTTAAAAGCATACAGTGATGTAAAGTACCACTTAGCTAGGAATGAATCTTCTGATAATCAGCACTAGCATCTTAATAACGATTGGGTTTTATGTGAAATAATTCATAAAGAAAAAAATTTGAATTAAATAAATGTTATAGTAATGTAATACATCCCATTATAGATGAAAAAATTTTTTGCAGCTATTTTAGTATTAAGCAAATAATGTGTCTAAAACAACAATGTCTATTTACGTGGAAGTGTGTCTTAGAGTACATCTGTAAGCTTGGAAATTTTCTAAAATCCCCAGATATATCATCTGTGACTGCCAGGAGTTTCATAAGAAGTATGTACTATAATGGCAATGTGTTACTATTAAATATTCTCAGTTTTATTAAATAAATTTAAAATATATTCTACTAACTGCAGCAGAGATTATAGTTAATCAAATGAAAGTTGAATGTTTCATCATTTTTTCATGCAGAAATATTTCCAAATGAACATTTCCTCCATTGCTAATAACTGAGTATTCCAATTATAAATGGCAGCATAAATTGCTAGAACCTATAATAAAGAATTTTAAAGGGTCAATAATGATACAGGCAATTGGCTATATTTATGCTGACATAGCAAAACAGACTTTTTTCAAAACAAAGTATAGGGTGCATTCTATGCAGGCCAGAAAATAATCTATTAAAGAAAATATTTGTTCTGTATTTGACAAAGTAAAGCAAAGCAAAACAAAACAAAACAACAACAACAACAAAAATCTCATGAAGAGAAAACTATTAGGTCTATACATTCGGCAGTATCTTTGCAAGTAACATTTTGTTTTGTCAGAGAAGAAAACAATATTTCTCAGCATATGGATATACAGTAAGTCCCTGATGTGTAATATATAAGTAGTCAAATGCATTTAGTTCCAGAATTAATATAATCTAAGTTAGCTAAAGTTCTGAGATTCTGAAATGTGTGGTTTATTAATACATAAGACTATGTAACACATTTAAACTTACCCTTCCAGTCTTACATCTGGCAGACTTCTATTAAGGGCAATCAAATCACTGGCCATAAGGTTAAACTGATTGATTTTGAACAGCTCTTTCATTTTCTCCTGGTCATCTTTAGGAATCAGCACAGCCTTTCCCATTTCTCCTGGGCCTTCTTGGTTTCTTGAAATAACAGCTGTAAGACATACACAGGTACAAACATACATACAAACACAAGATAATAAATGGAATGAAGAAACTCATGCATTGGATTAAATTCTGAAGTGTATTAATTACAAACTGGTTCTATAATGTAATCATCCAGTCGTATTTATAAACCATACACCACACAAAAGAAACAGCCTATTTTAATTCATTAGCTTAATGTTGCATGTTGTCTTTCAAGTGTAAACATATTAGACTAATTATTAATTGTTAAGACAATAGTAAAGCACTACAAAACACCTTATCTTAAAACTTCTTAGTCATATTTTTAATACACTTATTTTAAAGAGATGAAGTTGAACACTAGGGAGACCTTATTGTTCAAAATAAAAGATAACTTTTGAAAATACACCAAGATAAATTTATTTTCACATCAAATAAAATGCTTTCATATCTGAACATATCTGCTGTTATCACATTTTCATAAAGGCCATCAGCTTAATAGTTTTTTCCTCCCATAGCAATTTGATTTATTCTCAAATCACTTTGAAATGTATAAAAAGAAGTTTCAGAGTGGTAACACATAATTTTAAATGTCAAGGTAGATAGGTGCTTCATGACTTGAAATTCACAACAATTTTCTGAACTTGGCTGCTTATTAGGAGAACTCAGTATTCCATCTTCTGGCTAACATTCTTGCTATTTCTCCCAAGTTATCACTAGAGTTCTTAACTGCTCTAAAATGCATGTTTAAATGTGTTTATGTACGTGCACACGTCTATATACATGTTAACATATAATAATAAGCCAAGTTCCAGTTGATCCTAATGTACCTTTTAACTTACTAATCATAATAATCTTAAGTTAGGTTAAGGTGAAAGGGATACAATTCTGTTCTTGACTTTTTCAATGTTTTCCTATATTATAGTTCCCATACATTAGTCTAACTGAACTTAATTTGTACATAAATTAATGTGCAAATATTTTAACATAGATTACCTCAAAATGCTGTAAAGATAAGTAAGGGATATTATGCATGGGAAAATGTTTAATAAAGCATAATATTTCATAAAAATATAAAGTCTAAAATGATATAAGAATAAGTCTAAAATGATATAAGAATATGGTAAAAACTAGGATGGAACACCATTAGCAAACTTTCTACTCTCTTGACGTTCATAGTTATAAAAAAAACAACAATGTTATTACTAGTATTAATCCAATATTGACTACCCAGATGGTTATTCTTTATGAAATGTTACCCCAGTTTTGGATTAACATGAGTCAGACCAAATGAAAGAGAATAAATACTTCTAAGGACTATTAGACATTGGTACCAGGAGGATGATTAGCCTGAAATTCTCTCATACATAGAAAAAGAAGTGGGAGATTTTAAATGGAAAAATATAGATATACAACTTCAAATTATTTAAAAAATTGCCATTTGGTAAACTTGGCGTTTTTACTTTGCTAGAGTTTCCCAAAAGTTCCATGTGATAAGGGTTTATACTTCTCAATGTGGCATTATAGGTAGAAGGTGGGAACTTGAAGAGGTGGAGCCTAGTGAAAGAGCTTTAGGTAATTGTGAGACTACAGTCCCTTCATTTTTCTTTCACTTCCAAGCCATGACACAGCAGTATTGCTCTAACACACATTCCCACCATGATTTGCTAACACAGGCCCAATATACTGGGACCAACTGATCATGGACTGAAATCTCCAAAAGTATAGGCCAAAATAAGCTCTTTCCTATATAACTAGATTATCTCAGATACTTATCATAGTGACTAAAAGGTGACTAACATAATCTAAAGAAATTTTGCAGAGATTTATCATCCATCTTAAGAAACAAAATTAGAAATGACGGCTGAAATTTTATGAGAAAGCATATTTCGATCATTTTAAGAAACTAAATTCTAATGGTAATAATTCATCTTGGGAATTAGTATATTTCAGCATCCCTAACATCAGCTGGAGTTGTTAGAACCGAATTTGAGTAAATCTGTGCTCTTGGTGAGATGTTGCATCAGGTGTTCATCACTGTGACAAAATACCTGAAAAGAACAACTCAGAGGAGGAAAAGTTTATTTTTACTCATAGTTTCAGAAGTTCAGACCATGATCACTCAACTCCATTGTTCTGGGCCCCTGATGAGAAAAGCTGCTCAATTCCTGACATCTTAGAAGATAAAAGAGAAAGCAAGGCACCCAGGGACAAAGTATAAACCCAAAAGGCATGGCCCCAGTGACCCTTCCTCCAGTCAACCATATCTGCCAACATTTGTGACTGGTACAGTAGTCCTTCTCAATTATTAATCCAACAAATGGATTAATTCAGTGATTAAGTTATATATCTCATAATCTAATCATTATCTTTTGAGGGGTACCTCATATTCATAAAATGTTTGCATGAAGTTATATTCCATGTCTCATATTTTAAAAATATTATTATTATTATTATTATTATTATTATTATTATTATTATTTTGATTCCACAGAAAGTGTTAAAAAATGTCTGTTGATTCCTCAGGAGTCCTTCTGATTTTGTAAGAAGATAATCAGACTATGATACTTCCTATTGACTACAAATATTCAATTTACATGTTTTTTACATATTTTGGAGTATTACCTTGAAGCCATAAAAAGGATGATTTTCTCATAGAAAAGTTTTGCTTTTATGTTGAAACACTAAGGAACTGTTAAAGAATTTGGTGTAGAATATTTTAACAATTTTTATAAATTAAGAAAGCAGTTTCTAAGTCACAATTATTTATGATGCTTTGTAAAGGAGACAGGTTTCCTTTTGCCCTCTTAGGTTTTGAGAGTAACCTAAAAATTAAAAGACAGGACAGACTTTAACAGAAATATCACACAAATTTCTTGTTACTTGTACACAGGAGTCTTCAGAAGGAAAAAGAAGGCTGGAATAAGTTGTTAGGCCCAAAAGCTTATAAACCTTTTTATACAAGAAAAACAGAGGGTGACAAGACAAAGAGACTTGGGATAGAGTCAAAAAAATTGTGGGTCAATAACTAGAAAATACATGGGGGTATCAACTGAAAGATGAGTTCTTTTAGTGAGCTTGTTTTACACAGATCCATTCCAGTATCCACACCCAGTTTGGGATAGAAAAAATGTTCTCCTCTTGGTATAGCACGGAGGGCTTATTTCTTATGAGAAATTTTATAGCCTTCTTTCAGGGAGAAAAGGGAGGGCAGGCCAGAGAGAGCTTCCTGCATGTGCTATTTCTTGAGTGCCTGCAGCACAAAATAATCAATATGCCAAAATAGCATATTTAGAGGTGGCATATTCTGAACCTCTTCACCTTCAATAACTCTGACAAAAGGATATTCTGTTACTAAGAAAGGCACCATGACCAACATAGTACTTCCAAAGCCAGAAAGTAAATGGTGTTAAAATGTTTCTGTATTTAAGGAAGAGAAAATTCAACTACAATAAATTAGGGCAGGGATACAGATATTTTTGGGTTTTGTCACATATTCGAAGGAGTAACAATTTCATTATAACTTCATGCAGATTGGAGTTTTGTCAGTGGCAGTAGGAGTAACAGAATCATGTTGCAATACAAAATCAATAAAATTAAAATTGTCTTAAATAGTATACCTACAACTAGTTGCAAACATGTGTAGTCATCCTCCTTAATCATGTAACAGCTGAGTGCATATCAGGTTTTTTGTCTCCTCCAGAGTTAAATACATTTTTCTATAATGACCTATAATAAATGTATATTTAAAATCTTTTTTTTCCTTTTGTATGAACAAATCTATTGGTATTTTCACCTCTCTTGAGAAAAAAGAATACTAAATAATCATAGTGTGGAATCAGTCTTTTTCCTTTTCTTGCTCTTACCTGGAAGAATGCATCTTGCATTCAATAAACAAAGGTTTTTTTTTTGTTGTTGTTGTTGTTGTTGTTTGTTTGGTAGGTTTTGTTTTGTTTTTTAAATCCTTTAAATAGCATAAATAGGAAATAGGAAAGAATAAGCAATTCAGCTTTGTGGTCTATCTCAGATTTGAGGCATCTTGTTAACCAACGACTCCTATTTTTCTTTACCTGTTGATTTTCTTTCCTCTATATAGCTTAAAAGAAGAAAGAAAGAAAGAAAGAAAGAAAGAAAGAAAGAAAGAAAGAAAGAAAGAAAGAAAGGGAGGGTGGGCGAGAGAGAGAGAGAAAGAAAGAAAGAAAGAAAGAGAGAGAGAGAGAGGGAGGGAGGAAGGATAAGAGAGAGAGAGAGAGAATGAGAGAGAGAATGAGAGAGAGAAAGAGAGAGAGAAAGAAAGAAAGCACAAACTAAAAGAAAGGACCACTCACAGAATGCATTTCCCTATAGCCAAAAAAAGTCAAAATTAATTGTTAAAATTTTTAAAATTATTTACTGTTCCAGGCAACTATAACAGATGGCAACTAAATCTACATTCTAGTTTCTTTATTGCTGATGTGAATGTGGACAGAAATGTCCTGATTCCATAGTTGGTTTAGACTAAAAGATGAGATTAATTTATTAAGCCATAAATTATTTACTTTCTCATCATATGATAAATTCATCAAAAAAGAAATTTTGACTTAAAATGATATTATAAAGCAAGTAGAAATATAAGAGCCAAAGCATTTTATAATATCATTTTCTTTAACATAGTACACACTTTAAAGACTTTAAGAATATTTATTTCAATCTTAGAATTTCCACTGTTAGAAGAGAATAATCAAAATATAAACATAGAAACTGCTTTTCTACCAAAACTCCCACTACATATTAATTGCATTATTTACTTATGCACACTGCATTATGAACATCTTCTTATTTGCAGAATAACCCCTTTAATGAGCTCTATTTGAAAAAAAGAAAAATGGACCATTCTAGACCCAGGAAACAGAATGAAATTTAAAAATAAGTTGACTTTAAAGTAGTGATTTTATTCTGTTAAAGAATACAGTGATTTATGACACACATCCATAAAAGTGTAACATGGAACCAAATTCTAAATGCTATTCCACATGTCATGCTTTCCAA